TATATATATATATATATATAAAACGTTCGAATTTAATTCATTATGAATATTCAAGTCTCGTAAAATGTGGGAATAATATCGGATTCAGATCGATAAAGTTATGGTTATATTATGCGGAGTTAGAACTTTGAAATAGTTTCTCATAAGAGAGTCTGTGAGTGTTTAAATTTAAATTTAAATTTAAAAAGAGAAATACGGCGGTGTTTAGATTACAAGGACAACCAAGATATCAAAAATAGTGTTTTGTGTTTGAGTTCTGGTGACTCGTTTCCGTACGCTGAAAACTAATTGAGACAGATAATTCTTTCAAGGCAAATGAACTGAAGATAAAACTCCAACATTGAATTTATTCTTTTTGGAAAGAAGACTACCTCAAATATTATAGAAAGATTCTCGCAAATATTATGAATTAATGCTATCTGGTGGCGTTCTGAGTGACCACTCACATTAATTATAGACATGCGTGACTTGCAAATATTATGAATTTATGCCATCTATTGGCATTCTGAGTGAACTTTCTGTTACGTATTATCGAAACCACTCTGGCATTTCTAGAACCTCTGCTCCGTTATGATTACGCTTGGTCAGTGGTGGCAATTTCTGTTTAGTTTTCAAAGGAACCGAACATCAGTCATATTTATTAATGTCATGTGACCGAAAATTCAGAATGAGTTTATGTCGTGTATTGCTTTGCTCCATTTTGAGTTTGAGCATGTGTCATTCGATACGTAAATTTATTAATTTGTGATTGGACGGAAAGTAATGTTGACATTTAAGACCTCGGAATAATGAGTGTTGGCAGCGATAAGAATGCATAAATTTGTGTTTGTCTTAAACTGCATTTCACTTGTGAAATCTGCATTCGTGTACAGTGATCGATTTTGGAACCTGATTAAAATATTTTGAACAGTCACTTGGACTGTGCATTTTTCCTCTAATTAGAATCAATCTAATTAATCTACGAATAATGATGCCGCTCAATATCAGAACACGTATGACGATAAGATACAGCGGAATAAGGCTTAAACGTGTTACTACTATGTTAGGTGAGTTTTGTACCCGGAATCCGCCTATTCTAACCAATATTTTTCGTGGTTTTCCTCAGTCCCTCCAGACAAATGCCGGAATAGGAACGTAATTAGGCCAGTGCCTCTAAAATCCATATCCTTTCCAATTCACCATTTTTCAGCCAATCAATCGACTTTTTATAGCCTGATATACTACGTGAATTCTTCTAGAAGTTAACGGACGTTTCAGAAGTGCTTACTGTCACCCTGATGGAGACAGTAGGCACCTCTGAAACATCGAGAAACATCCACAAGACTACAGGTGCACTGTATTCTGATCGCGTTGACCTTAATGCACGTTAATGGTTATTATTTGAACGTTACTACAGGGAGAGAGATTTCTTTATTCGAAATTTAATGTCCAGTTTAGTTATAACATCCGTGTAGTGAGCGTGATTTTGACACAGGCCGGATGCATGTTCGTTGTTGAATGTTACGGATTCCATTTTGAAATGATCACTCTGTAGAAGCCAGGAATCTTTTTGTTCATTTCCGATTTCATTTAGATGGAAGTTCACGTATAAAGTTCATTAATAATCCCGTGTTTTCTGCTGTTTCAGATTTCTGCAGTAACGAGCTTCTGCCATGTAAGTATGACTTAGTGTGTCATTTGCATGCCACGTGCAAACTGCTGGTATCAGACGGGCACAAATAATGGCTTGCCCCTCGTAATAGCTGTAATATAAAAATATAGCGGATATGCTGGATTTATATGTTCTGTTTAATGTAGGGTAATGAAGTGATTGAATATCGTAATTTGTAAATTATATTTTCCACAGGCCTTTGAAGCACAAAGCTCATTTAAATAATATGTAATAATTTGGTTAATATCTCAAAGAAAGTGCAACTTGGCTTCATTACAAATGTCGGTAGGTTAATGCCGTTTAAGGAAACGATATTTATTTATTATGAGCATTAAACGAACCCATAACTACAGTCTGTGGGCAGAATTCAGGTACTAAATATTAATGCAGGTTTTATAGTCTACCATTTACTTAATATAAAATACGTTTACGAAGTTTCTAGTTTCGTCTGAAGGCAATTGGTTGCGATTATACTGACAGATTTTTCAGAATTCAGCCCTCAAGATGGAGACAGTATATTACACCTAACCTAACCTAAACTAACCTAACCGAACCTAATCTAACCTAATCTAACCCAACCTAACCTAAACTAACCTAACCTAACCTGACCTAAACTAACCTAACCTAAACTAACCCAACCTAACCTAACCTAAACTAACTTAACCTAATCTAACCTAATCTAACCCAACCTAACTTAACCTAACCTAACCTAACTAACCTAACCTAATCTAACCCAACCTAACCTAAACTAACCTAACCTAAACTAACCTAACCTAAACTAACCTAACCTAAACTAACCTAACCTAAACTAACCTAACCTAAACTAACCTAACCTAAACTAACCTAACCTAAACTAACCTAACCTAAACTAACCTAACCTAAACTAACCTAACCTAAACTAACCTAACCTAACCTAATCTAACCTAACCTAAACTAACCTAAACTAACCTAACCTAACCTGACCTGACCTGACCTGACCTAACCTATCTACATACGAGCGTTCAAGGTGTTACCAACATCAACAGACATTTGACTGTCTTTAATTTCAGACCTTCCCTCTTTGCCTTGGTCTAGGGATTTTGCATTCTGAAGGTCCTGGTTCTTCCCTGACGACTGCCATTAAAATAAATTAAAATGAAATAAACAAAATATAATATGGGTAGTGTCCAAATAATTGCAGTGTAATGCAATATGTCTGACCGTTGCTGCTAACTCTTATAGCACCATCAGGTGCAAAAAGGTGTTAACAATATTTATTTTCTCTTCTGTTGTACTTCATGAAGTCGTTCCAAGAGAAACTGTGCCTTAAGTACATTCTACCATCAACAGATAATAAAGTTTTGTTGTAGGATAAATTTTAATATGTGTTAAAATGTCTAAAAACACTTTCGCAAAACATGATGACGTAGATGCTGTGTTCCTGATGTTTACATATTTATGAGCATTGTAGTACCTTGAAGTCGCAAAATTTATCTTGGAATACTTGGACATAAATGCGAGGATAATATTAAATTGGTTCTTAAATGAATATAGGAAGGTCTCGAATATACTTATTTGGCTCAGGATAGAGACCAGTTTCCGGTCTTTTTAAAGACGATAATGAATCTTATATTTCTGTAGAAGCTTGGACAATTCTAACACAGCTGGAGCTGATCTTTTATTTGTTTTATTTGTCGAAAGTATAAGGAATTGACCACGGAACTAATTTACCTTTGAATATGTACAAGATTTCAGACTGAAACACACGCGAAAAATATTAGTATTGTTTTCCTGTAAATTAGTAACCTTTGGAAGTGGCAATTGAATGAGTCAGTGTTTATGGACGAAGTTGTCTTTTTTGGAACAGAGAAAATTACTATAGCGCCCATCTGCTTACCCACTTTGCAAAGAAATTCTAAAAGCAAACTTTTCTCCTTTCATTTTGTACGACATCACTTTTGGGTGTCGTGAACACAGACTATATAGTACATTCCCTTTGTATGCTCACATAACCTGTCACTGCTCTGGGTTTCCATATTCCTCATAACAGTACAAGTTGTCAGTCTGCGACAAAAACACGTCTATTCCAGAAAGCGACCGTCACACAGTGTTTACATAGCAGTTCCTTTTCAGAAATGAAATATAACTTATGTGATATACAGTTGTCCCAGGAAATGTGTACCAAAATTAAGGAGCTTTATAATCACGTCATAAATGTTGTAAGGACGTGTGTCCTCTTCAAGCGTGAATCAAATGCACATCGCTTCAGCGGAGTGATATTAAAGACCAAAATATTAACTAGCTATATCGATATTAAAATATCATTTACATATTTGGTACATCTTTTTTACTACATGTTTCGGTTACATCGAACCATCTTCAGGTGTAAAGTTAAAAGTTAAAAATTATAATCTTATAAACTAAAACTTAATTACTGTTGTGTTATGTAAATGATATTTTAATATCTTATGTATACATTTTATTTATATACAATTGTGATTAGACGGGGAAAAAACACGAATAATTAAATTTTAATTCACAATATGACGCAATTATATCAACTTAGCTATGTCGAGTAGCATCCTTCTTGAGACGTCAGTAGCCGCCCAACCATTCAGGAAATACAATAGGCTCAGGACATAATCCAGCAGTGGGTTCTTGTAAACACGATAACAGACCTTTGGATTCCATAAATTGATGATATCGTCTCAAAGAAAGATTCTGGTTTATGGAATTTGGAAAAATGGCAATATAACGGGGAGTTTCTATAACGTAACATCCTGTTGTCTCTAATATTGGTTTTCTTCAAAACTACAGTGACTTCCAAACCAAAAATCACATTTCCGTTTGAAGCTGGTTACCAGTGAAGATGGCTGTGTTCTGGGATGTTGCACAGTGTAGTCTGGTAAAAGTTTACCGACGTTTCAGAGAAGCGATGTTGTGTTGATGGAGGCAGTAACCTCCTCCAAAACGTCGGATAATACCAGACTACGCGATGCAACATTCTAGAAGACAAGAGATCTTCATATTCGTCGCCGTGAGGACCTTAAGTATCACCTGTTATGTTATCATGTTAGAGAAATACCACTAACCAAATGTACTTCAGAACGACACCAGTAACCACACGGAACGTTAAAGTCAAATGGTTAGCATTTTTGCCCTATGGGTTTTAATAGTTTTCCTCAGTTATTCCAGTAAAATGTCGGTATAACACTTTTCCAATTCATTTTTCTTTAATAATTACTATCTTATGAAGCTATACTCCCACGAAAGCATGAATGGAATGTTGAAAAGACACTATATCGAATCACCACACGCCTGACAAGACATTGGATTTGAGAGAGAGATGACGCTGTGTAATCCCAGCTATTGAAATAGTCGTTAAACAAAACAAAGGACGATCTCCAGATGTGCAGGAAGGTATCTGCGGATATAATGAATGAACAGCCGAAAACCGTGGTCGTCCATTTTAGAAGTCGAGTGGGGATTAGTATGAGATCCTCGCTGTCAAAAAGTAAAATACCAACAAAATTTTACCACATCCCCGGAATATTTGGATCGTCCTCACTAAACGAGGAGTCATAAAAAAATAGGTAGATATCTTGAAACGTCTGGTTTCCCTGGTGTTTCAGTTGTCAGCGGTTGTGGATGGCGTCTACTCACAACATTCCAACACCGCAGGGACATTCGCCATGTTTTCTTCCAGTAGAGTGTACGTCGGGGGTAGCCAAAACACTCACGCTCTGCCCGGATCCAGAATACACAGCAATTTCGTCGGTTGTCTCCGAAAGGTAACTATTAAATCTGTGTTGTCAAGATAATCGACATAAATGTGAAAAAACGGGATTAAAAATGAAGATGTCTGTCTTGTGGGATATTACTCGTCACCCTGACGATGGAGCCAGTAAGCTCCTCTATGACGTTGATCGCTGTCCACCATATTTCACGTTCCAATATCTGCAACAGAAAAGTGTCCTACAATTTACTGGCCTGGAATAACTTACTGTTAAAATATTACGTCAAAAATATAACGCTCGTTAAAATTGTCTGATTTCAATGAAAGCTGATATCATTCAACACGCGTTTATCGTAAAATTTCCCGATGTAAAATTTAATCATGATCAATTTATCAGTTTTAAAGTTGTTTTATGCGTATAAACGTAAATATCAAGCTACTTTGACAGGTTTCACGTGTGATATAGATCGTTTTATAATACAGTCAAGTGTTGTTAAAGATATGGAGTATAAAGTGTGTTCTGGTTCAGTTCGTAGAAAGAACAGAATGAAACACGATGTCTCCTTCGGAGTTGTTCTAAAAGGTCAGCTTTCGAAACAAAGTTCCTTGGGCGATGTAAGTAAAATGCCATATTTGTAGAATAAGGAACATTCCGGATAAAAGTTATAGAATTTTATGCGAAAGAATTAGGTTGTTTCTTATTCTTTAGAAATGCTATAAAATGTTATTGGAGAACAGAGAAGCCTTGTGAAAGCCGAGCGTTCAGTGAGCAGGTTATAGCTGGGACCAGCTGTGCGATTGTATCTGTGTATTGCTCAAGTTGGCGAAACTGCTTTCTCTGCAGCTTTCTTTCCATTGTAACCTACAGTAAAACTTTTCTGTGTCAACTTCCAAGTAAGTCAAACAGGTTTAAGTCAATAAACTTGGAATAAAGTGTCTCCTCTTACGAAATAGACATTTCTACAAATATCCTGAATAGAGCAATTGTCCTTCCTACCGTCATTGAATTTTGTCCTATTTTACGTGCATTCGACACGTAACGCGGTTGGGACGTTTCAGGACGCACGTCTAAGTGAGAATTGAACAGGTTTTATTTAAATCGAATGGAACTTCCTCCATTTCGTTGGTCCTTGAAACCGAAACTCGTCTAAGTAGCATATAAGAATTCAGTCCGTACCGCGAAGAAAACACTATACTTTACGATTACAAAGATCAACTGGTTAATGTTGTTTAATGTAGGTTCTCATGCGAAGTGGCCCTATTTTTTTTCGATTTTAACTAAATTTGGAATCACGTATTTTAATTAAAGTCTACAATATTAAATTTCATTGATATCTGTTTATCGGTTCTCGAGTTGTTGTGTACGGACAGACAGAAGTGGCAAGGCTATTAGGTGCAGTTTTTAAATTTATATTACCGAACGCACGTATAAACGGTGTAATTTTTAAATGGGTTATTTAAATTGTATTTTATTTCACGACAAATTAGTTGGACCGATTAAAATTTGAGTAAATAAATAACAGGATGTAACATTACTTCCAACAGACGCTTCAACGGATTGTAGTTTATTTTTGTGAAATCTGTTTTATTTGTTTTCTGAAACCCATCGTAATCGATCGGTGAGATCGTAATTTTATATGAGATTTTTGCTAGTAAGCGTCCATGAAGCGTAGCAGAAAGGAAAAGAAGGGTGGATAATATTAAAAAGTATCACGGAATTAAGATTTCTTGCAAGTATGGGTGTCGTTTATTTTCTCAGGTTGAGTTCACTGCGGACACCCTCAAACTCAACTTGATCGACCTGGGTCGGACTGAGAGCAAACTCATCACTGTCGCTGGTCACGTGGACTTCATGTGTCAGGAAGTGGAGGCCGCTGACCCTGTGACCTTCACCACTCGAGACTCGAACCTCGTGAGTCTACTTTACATTACTTTATCGCAGCATGAAAATATTAAAAAAAAATTCTACAACATTTATTTTTGATTAAGTGATTAATTTATTTTATTGGTAGTCTTAATATCTGTTACGACGTTTCGGACGTACGGTTCAGTTTTCAGGATTTTAGTTGCATCCACAAATGACTGCGCTGTTGGCAGTCGCTAAACAACGATGACCCCTAATTCGTAATATTATTCAGAAAGTTAGACACGCAATGTGTGATTAACAAAAAGACTGAAAAATATCCCGTATAAAGGAGACACTGTTCTAAACCCATTGGAAAAAAATGAATTTCGTCCAAGAAATAATTGGGAAGATGAAAGTTGATGCAGCAGACTTTATAAGCCTAAAATCCAATTAGTTTAAGAAGAAGATAAGATCAAACCTAGTACGTTAATTTTCTTAATAAGAATATGGCGCAACATTAAAAAACAGCAGCCCGGAAAGAAGCCCTTTAATTATGCCCTTAGGATTAAGTCCACGAGACGGAAATAGAGCCTGTGGCATTATAAAACTAGATGCCCCACTGAGAACAAACTTCCTCGAAACAGGCCGTCTGCAACTTCCAGTGTGGTATATTGCCCCTCTGGGAGAAAACTGTAAATACTCGTAGCTTTTAGGATAATTGTAAGATAAAATTTGGTGGAGGTAAATAAAATAACAGAAGAGAAGAATAATGACACGTGTGTAGGTAGAGTTCCATCGAATACACGTGGTTAAATGTCAAAGAATCGATAGATCGTTATCGATCGATTGTGGATGTTGGAATCCTCACGTAAACCACCGTGTAAGTTCAGTGTGCGGTTGGTGATGTGGTGATGTCGAGAAGAATGAGATGGGCTGAGCATGTAGCGCGCATGGATGGGACAAGAGGTGTGCACCGGGTATTGGT